GGGAAAGAGGATTTGAGTTTTCACATTGTATTTATTGCAAGCTCCTTTCTTTATTGTTTATAAAGATCAGACCTCTGTTAAACTTGATTAACGTTTCTTATTTTTATACAGCCTGAAGGAAAAGTTGGGAATAGTCTTGTGCCATGTATTATGAATACTTACAACTATTTTGTAGTTGAAGCTTCTGGGCTGTGCAGCTCTAGCATTTCTTTTTTACCTCAGTAAGCCATGATCTGTACTGGTACGTGAGGCTACGATTACCATGGTGGCTGCAATATACACACAGCAGAAGGAAGAATTTGCCCCAAGGAACACTTAGGCTCTCTTGTCTAGTATGGTGTGGTGTAAGAGCATCAGCTGTCAGTGGTTGCCTTAGTGCAGTGTAGTTGTGCGATAGACTTGCCTGTTACCTTGCTGCCTCTTGATATTAGATATCGTTCCTACCTGCATAAGGCTAAAGATTCAGCTGCAGTGTTGGTGTACACAGTGGGGCAGAGGAGATGATGGCCAGTCTGGCTGTAAGCCGTTCTTTTCACTGGTGAACCTGGTAATTGACAGCTTGAAGGATCATCCTGATATTTAGGACATAGTGGCACTTTGTCTTGCTCTTTACCCCAGCAACATCTGACACATCGGGTATCTGAGAAAAAGAGCATTGTGGGGATATTTACTTTAACTGTATGGTATATTGCAAGGGGGAGTCTGTTCCTAAATATTTGATTATATTCAGTGTAGTGTAAATGACAAAAGATGACAGTTCTTCTCCTTGGAAAATAGTGGCCTACATTCAATTCTATCATCGATTGTATTTAGGAACAGGTTCTCAAATATAGAATGTGAAACTCTATACGTAGACATGTGGGCAAATGGGTACTGTGGTAGCTCTCTGATTAAACAAATGCAAAGAATTATTTCACATAATAAACAACAGGGGTTTATGCGTGGGAGCTAACAACTGTTCAGAAGTTTTGGGTCTGGATAGATAAAGATTTTATAAAAGAAACGTGCAAATTAGTTTGTTTTAAAAACACAATTTCCTGATTAAAGCTATCAAGATAGGGTCCCAGAAAGTTTCTTCTGGGAAGGATGAATTATAAGAGTATGTATAATTTGATTAAGGAACAATAGCTTCTCTGCAGTATGTTTAAAGCAATACTGTGGAAGAAAGTTTGGTATGCCTTTTTCATTAATTTGATTTTTTTTTTTTTTTTTTTTTAGATTTTTTGGAGGATTGATTTTAGATATAAAAAGAAAAGCTCCCTTCTTCTGGAGTGACTTCAGGGATGCTCTCAGTTTGCAGTGTCTGGCATCATTTTTGTTTCTCTACTGTGCTTGCATGTCTCCTGTCATCACATTTGGTGGTCTGCTGGGAGAAGCAACTGAAGGTCGTATAGTATGTGTTAAATCTGAACTTTTAAAACAAACTTACTCTTCTAGGTTTGTGGTTAGTATTTTCTTACTGTTGCATGAATCACCTTTAAATATTGGTGTTTCAGTGTTTAGAAGGCTACAGACTAAGACATTGCAAAAACTGTTTGAAAATTTATGGACACTTCTCTCTGTGTTGTATTCAGAGTGCAATAGAATCACTGTTTGGAGCATCCATGACTGGAATTGCCTACTCTCTCTTTGGTGGACAGCCTCTCACTATACTTGGCAGCACAGGACCAGTTTTAGTGTTTGAGAAGATCCTATTCAAATTTTGCAAGTAAGTGAAGATCATGATATGCATCATCCCTCGAGTGTTGTTAGGTAAAAGTAGACACTGATCCCAGAGTTCCAACATCTGCAGAATAAGATCAACAGTTTGTTTTGGAGTGCACTGCTTAGGCTTTCAGAGTCTGAAAATTAGGCAGTGACTGAGACAAGTGAATTGGTGGTAGTGCAGAAAGTGGGGTTTTTTATTGTCTTTTTTGTTTGTTGTAAAAAACCCCCACTGTTTTGAAGGGAATGCAAGCTTCAGGATGTTTGTTTGTTTGTTTTAATTGTATCATTTTCCAGTCTGAAACAAGACATTTAAATCTGTGGTTTATCTCATCCCTAACTCATGCAAAAGGTGTTACTTCTCCCCCAGGAAGTAAGTGCAGTGGCAGTGGTGCCATCTTTCAATAATCACTAATACAGACCCTGCCCTTCCTGCAACTCAACGGAGAAGGGGTGAAGCGTCGTGCCTGAACAGCATATCCCCGCTTTTATGTTAATGTGCTATACGTGACATACCTCTGTCACAGTGTGGATAAAAATTATGTCTGCATCTTGGCAATCATCATGCTTCTCTGCGATCCTCTGCTTTTCTGCCTCATTGCTGTGATAGGGACTTCTGCACCAAGATCTCCTGAATAACATAGAGTAGGAGACCCCGCTTAGCACCCCAAAAGCTCTTTTATCACCTTCAGGTAGACCTTTCAGTTTTCTGTGATGTCATAACGTGTTTGGAGCTCTACTATCATATGCAGTAAGCATACAGGATTTTGATGAAAGTTGTTACTATAGGTACTCTTGCAGCTTAGGAAGAAATTGTCAGGTGTTGGCTGGATATGGGATGAAAAGTGGGTGGACCTTATACACTTCATGTGTGTGACTACTGTCAAAGCTGCTCACTCATTTTAGTAGAAATAAAGCACTTTCTGTCCCGTTAATTGGGAGGAGAGCTCAGGTCAAGAAGTGACTTGACAGTATCTTCAGTTCACAATAGGTAAATAATTTCTGATTCAGGCTGTCCCCAGAATCACACATCCCTAGGCAAAAGAAATTTTGGAGCTGGCTTTTCTCCATTTACTGTGGCTGGACAACAGATAAACTGTGTTTAAATTTATTTATTTATTTATTTA